AGAGGGAGAGGGTGAGGGAGAGGGAAAGAGAGGGGGGGAGGAGAGAGGGAGAGAGGGAGAGAGGGAAAGAGGGAAAGAGGGAAAGAGGGAAAGAGGGAAAGATATGAGGAGGGAGGGAGAGATATGAGGAGGGAGGGAGAGAGAGATGTGTAGGTAGGGACGGAGGGGTTATGCTATTCTATATTTGAAAGAGGGAAAATGAAAAAAAAAAAAAACAGAAAAAAAAAAACAGTTTGTTTACTTTCGCTAAAGGAAAAGGGGAGATGAACTGGGCGTGGAAATGGAGGGGAGAGGAGAGGAGAGGAGAGGTGAAAGTTTTAGGTAAGTAGATATGTAAAAGAGATAGAAGATGGATGGATGGATGGGTGGATGTTTCATTTCATAGCTCTGCTCACTTTAATACGCTTTTCCCCTTCTCCATCTCGCTTTTGCTTCCAGCTCAGGCCAGCTTCGGTAGAGCAGTGGCCCAAGGCAGGACCAAGAGTCTGTATGACCCAAAAGAACGTCGAATGCGGCGGTCGTCTGATCATGATCACAACCATTCGTCCCGTCCTCAATATCAATACTGCCTTCGCCCCAATCCTCCCACCTACCCACTAGGGCGGGAGGCAATATCTCCACCAACATAGCGGCCTTTATCCTATCCCATTCTACTCCACCCCACTGCCTCCCAGCCCCTTCATACCTGATCCATGGGAAATTGCGTGCTCTCCTCGCTCGTGCCTAGCTTCCCGATCATCTCTATGGGTGCTCTAACTCCCCCCACTTGTTGCGCCCACCGCTCCGGCATCACCCCCTCGAACGTGAACTCGCCCCTCGCGTTGCGCACCACCTCCCCCTCCTCTGTGATGATCGCGTCGATCAGCTGGTGCGGCGTCACGTCGAAGCTCGGGTTCCACACCGCGATCCGCTGGTCCGCGATCGCCACCCTGTGCGTCTCGCCTGGGACGACGTTGCCGTCGGGTCCGACGACCGCGCCGGTGACCTGCGTCAGTTCACTGCCGGCGCGGTCTTCGATCTTGATGCTTGCCCCGGTGAGCGTGAGCAGGTCGATGGAGGTCGTGGGTGCCGCCACGATGAACTTGATGCCGTGGTAGCGCGCCAGTACCGCGAGAGCGTAGGTCCCGATCTTGTTGGCCGTGTCGCCGTTGCGGGCGACGCGGTCCGCGCCTACGATCACAGCCATGATGTTCTTCTCTTCCTTGTAGCGGTCAAAGAGCGCGCCAGCCATGGAGTCTGTGATGAGGGTGGAGGGGATGGCCTCGTAAACGAGCTCGAAGGCTGTGAGCCGTGAGCCTTGGTTATAAGGGCGCGTTTCGGTGCAGAAGGCATGCGAGAGGTAGTTCATGCTGTGTAGGGAGCGGATTATGCCGAGGGCGGTGCCATGGCCAGAGGTGGCCAGGGAGCTGTGTATTCCACGTCAGTCGGATCACTCGGTCAAGACCTGGAAGAGACGCAGAACTGGTTCCGCCGCGGGAAAGAGAGTGGGAACAGTGGAACAGGGAGTGGATACCCAGTGTTACAATGCGTCAACACGCTGATCTTCCTATACGTGCAATCCAGCGCGCCCTGCGTCCCCGGCGGACTTGTCGTATAGTACCGCAACTCATCCGTACCATCCACCGGCGTGACGACCGGCTCCTGTTGTCTCCTCAGATACTCAGCGCCGTAGCGGCCAATCTTTCTGTTCGTCGCTAAATCATCCTCTAATATCTTCTCTGCAGCTTCGATGTACGCAGTACGGATCTCGGATATGGCAGTGACCGGGGAGGAGGAGGAGGAGGAGGAGGAGGAGGAGCAGCAGATGGAAGAGGCAGACGTTGTTCGCGATTTGAGAAGCGTAATGGCGTTCGAGAGGTCGACGGCCGTAGGGCGTGAGCCCATCAAGTAGTCCAGGCGGGCTTCGATGAACCTCACGAGGTCCTCTGCAGAAGTCGCTCCTAGAACTCACGTCAGCATTAGCCCCCATTCCTCACACACCATCAAAATCAAAAAGGAGATGTGGGAGGGACAACCAACCATCCTTCGCATGCTCCAACTCCACCGCCAACGCGAGAGCTGCAACGATAGCAATAGCGGGGGCACCTGTTCAGTTCACACCTTAGCCAGCGAACATCGCATCTCATCCCTCCCCCCCCCTACGCTCCTACCCTTCCACTGTCCGAGTGTCCAGAGAAGGCGGACGTAAAAGTACCTCTCACGCGCATGGCCTTGATACATTCAAAGGCCTCCTCGCAGGTCGACACGTTGTCGTAGGCGAATTCGTGGGGTAGCTTTATCTGGTCGAGCACTTCAAGCTTGCCCCGCACGTACTTGATCGCTTGCAAGCCGTGGTGCGCCATGGCGGAGAGCGGAGAGATCCGTGTCCAACGTCAGTTGTGTATATCTGTATTTGAGGTAGATGGAAGGAGAGAGAGGTTGACGTGGACGATATGGGTTGTTGGAGCTGGGTTCTTAAACTCTTGCGGATCAGTTTGTTGACGGAGAAGCGGGCAACGTTTCTTTCTTTTTATTTTTTTTTATTTTGAGCGGCGAGAAGTGGCAAAAAAATTACCCCGCTGGCTGGATTGGGGTCGGGGGAGCTTCCACTCCCTATCCCTGCGGCCCTGCGGGATTTCTTCGTCGAGTGCATAGTCTCGCGTTTCGAGGCATGCACAGTGGATGTGGCAATGAGTGGAGAGATATGCGGAGAAAAATGTCGAGAAATACTGTAGCAATTCGACCAGAGTGGATTTCTAGCCCAAGTCATTCATGTCTTCATGTATTACTTATCTAAACATGCCAGCGCGGGAAACGCACGCCAGCCAGCCAGCCAGCCAAATTTTCATGCGGCTCGGTCAAGGCATGCTCTATCTGTTAGGGGGAATCTCATTGGAATCCCCAGCTTCACACGCCACACGCCGTCAAACTCCAAATCCAGATCCATAACCCCCGCCCCAGCGCCGGCAATCCCGAGCCCTCTCGCCGTGAGAAGACTTTGCTGCTGGAGAAGTCCTATTCATCGTATTCATAGCATATACTTATGGAGTTCCGGATGCATGTACAAGCAAGCACGCGCAACTCGTAAACCCGACCCGGCTCAGGGATCGGAGCGGCCTCTGCTGTTTTGGTTGACGATCTCGCCTGCTCTGAGTAATGCGCTGACAGGGTCGAGGATGGTGTCGTCATTGGAAGGGCCAGACGTGTAGTCTCGGCCTCTGTAGTCGGAATGGCTGTTGCTGTAGGGAGGTAGAGGGTGCGTTGCGATTGAAACGTACCCTCGCATCGGAGGCATCGACGAGGAGAAGTCCCCGAATGGGTGAGTGGCTATGGATTTGATTAGACGGTGGTACATACTCAAGGCAGACTCACTGACCAGTCGGAGGAGGCTGTGGCCCATGTGCTAATTGGGGGGAGCCGCGTCGTATAGGTGGTAGCTGGTGCTCCAAGGAGCCATTTGATTTTTGGAGATACAATGACGGAATGGGGAGTGCTCGCTCCAAGGACGGCTCCATCGGCGTGCGAGGAGAGTAGAAGACGGACGACACTGTGCTACCCGAGGAAGCTGAGGCCGTAGATCGGTTCGTCGATTCCGAAGTCAGTAGCGGAGGCGGGTGGTTCTGGCCGGTGCGGTGCGCGAACTGTTGCGCTCCGCTCGGATTGAGGCTATCGGGCGTCGGGGTGGTGCCGTTGGAGATGCTGTTCTGTCGATCCTTCACGCTCGGGAATCGAGGAAGCTGTTGACGGTGGGGGGCGTTGTCGTCCCGCAGGCCGTCTCTCCGGGGAAGCGACGGGTATATCGAATCACGATAACCTGGGAGTACCGTGGGAGACGCGGCAGAGACCTGGGGACTTGGAACCCCCGAACTCGCTTTCATGTTTGCGGCGATTTGCGGAGACGATTGTTGGCTGTCGACTGGGTGCCATGGAGCTGCGTTGGACACTGGAGGCTCAATTCCTCTCGGCCCAGGAGGACTATCGTGGAACGGATGACTATCGTGGATCGGTTGCGTGGTACCGCTGCCTGCAGTCCCGGGGGTCGCAGTGCTCACAGTAGATTCAAGCTTGGGACGCTTCGCCACTTCGTTTTGTTCGCTCGCTGTTCAGGGTCAGTATCTGATATTTCCTTCCTATCGTTCTCGTCTCGCTACGGACCGGTTACGTACTCTGCTGCGGGTTCGAATGTCTGGCCTTGAATTCTGCCAGATAGTGCGTGTACTCGGCGTAATGTTCGGTCTTCTTGTATTCGGCGAGTTCGTTATTATATCGCTCCTTGGCTGCAGAGGCCTGCTGTTCATACGGATCCTTCTCGCTCGGCGACAGATTCTGCCAATTCTCGCCCACCAGTTTCGCAATCTCGGTAAACGATAGATTCCTCCCCTTGAGGTCCTCGCGCATCTTGTTTGAGAAGATCACGTACGCGGAGGGCGGTCTCTCGGGGGCATTATCGTCTGGTTTCGGATGTCGCCTATACTTCCGTTTCACGCCTGGTGCACACCCGTTGGCTTCTTTCCCTCCCTCGACCTTGACTCCGGGGGTCTTCTGCTCCTCCACGTTCCGGTCATCGATCGGGGTGTTTCGGGGAGACGCGAGGGCCCGGTCGGATGACAGGCCGCGAGAATTGGCAATTTTCCGCTGGAGCTTCCGGCGATGGCCGAGCTTGACGCCTAGGGCATCGAAGTCCGACTCGGTGATGTCGAGAATCGTTTCCCAGGTGTCGAAGCCCTGCTCGATGAAGTCGTAGAGGTAGTGAGAGATACCCAGCTCCGAAAAGATGGATGCCAATTCAGTCATCCAGTAGGCTGCGTCTGAAACGCGTCCAGGGTTGGGTATGACCACGGGTTCTCGAGTTCCGCAATGCTATGTACTCGAGTGCGCCTCGCTGCTTGGCCCCCAGCGAAATTGGGCGAGTCTATGTGGTGATCTGTTCCCAATTTGTTCCCCAGGGTTGATTTTTTGTTCCTTCAAAGAAGGTTTGCAAGCTGACGTTCTTGGAAGCCCACATCGATGTCTGCGGAGAGCAGATGTTACCCGGTGGAGTCGGTCATGCGAACTGATTACTCGTCGAGAGAGTTCCGAGAAGGGTGGTGGTGGTGGTGGTGGTGGTGGTGGATATTGTGGGTGGTGATATGAGTAGCGGCCGTGACCTAGCAAATGAGGCTCTTTGCAGAATGGCCACTGTCTAAGAGGAGGGGGAGGGTGTATGGTTGTTGTCTCTCAGGCAAGGTCGAGGTAGGTCAGTAGGTCGGTAGGTCGGTAGGTCGGTAGGTCGGTAGGTCGGTAGGTCGGGTAGGTGGTCGGGAGGAGGTGGGTTGGTGGTGGTGGTGGTGGTGGTGGTGGTGGTGGTGGTGGTGGTGTGGACTTGGGGGGGAATCTGGTTAGCCGTGGAAGGTCGGGAGGTAGGGCGGTAGGGCAGTCGGGCGGTAGGTAGGAGGTACTCGCATGGGAATGATGGATTTTGAAGGCAGACAATGGCAGTTTGGACATGCCATTTTTGATTGTGAATGTAGGACATATAGGACAATAGCATTACCCTTTCGCCCCCCATGCTGTCATGTGTGAAGCGGAGCGACGCTAGGCTCAGCTCCAGCAGGCTAAAGAGGGGAGCTAGTTGTAAGGGAGTAGCAGTCGAGTCGAGCTACGTTGTCCTGGTGGTCCCGTCCGGTCCGGTTGAAGGGAGATCGAGATCGCGATCGAGATTGATTCTGGTGGAAGAGGCCGAGACGATCGGTCAAACGGCGTGGGATCGACGGAGATGGTGGATGGGATGGGGCCATGGGATGGGGAGCGAATCAGAAGCTCGGATTGGACACGGAGGTAGGGGAAGGGGGGGAAAGGGGGGGGGGGGGCTATTCTAAAAAGTATGAAGATGAGCCGTCCGTAGTCTTGGGTAGTAGTAGTTTGGGCTTTGGGTAGTCTGGGTAGTCTGGGTAGTCTGGGTAGTCTGGGTAGTCTAAGTAGTCTGGGTGGTCTGGGGGAGTCTGTAGGTGTAAGAGTACGTACGGTCAACAGCTGACCGACCTACGACCTACCGGCACTACTACTACCACTAGTTTTCCCATCTGGATCTGGATCTGGATCTGGATCTGGATCTGGATTAGGTCTAGGAATTCATCCTACTTATGCTCGGGCCGGGATGATCCAGCACCCACCGACTGCACACCCAACAAACGGCCGATCCAGCAGCCGCCTTCTCGATCAGCGGTCCTGCAAATGAAGAAAGGAATGGACGAATCAACGAACGGACGAGTGAATAAAGAAATGGGTCTCGGAGGATAAACTCAAAGTCCGTGCCTAAATGGCCGGGAAGGTGGGGCCGGCCGGGAAAACATGAATGACATGATCATCGCAGATGACGGGCGGACGGAGGCGGAGAGCGGCTCCGTGGGTGAGGTGGGTCGGGTGGGGTCCTGTGGATATCCAGAAATAAACACCATGGCATTTTTACTACTGTACCTTGTATTTCACGCATATCGAGGGACCAGGCCCAAGTACTACTACTATGTACAACGGTACAACTAGGTACCTACCTACCTACCTACCTGTCTACCGCTATCGATCGGTCAACTCCTCGCTCCTTCCTCATTTTCCATCCTCATCGCCTGTGATCTGGTCGCGAAGCTAGCCCTATGCTTATTCCATCCTACTACTATCTGCTACCACGACCGACATCGAGCATCGAGCATCGGCCATCGGCCGCCGGCCATCGAGATTTTCTCGGAATCTTGGCATCTGACGGAGGAGTGGAGTTGGGAGAGGCACAAGTCAACAAGCCCAGCCAAGACACCTGCCAAAGCCAACTCCACCCCGTACCCACCCTACGTCCCCGGGACTCCCGCATGAGTTACAAATACGGCGGTATTACTAAGTACCTTAGGTATCAGCAATATCACATTGCATAGCGCATATTTTGCATCTTTTGCGTTCATTCCTCCGCCTATGGATTGATTGGTGGATTGGTCAGGTCTCGAGCCTGGAATGCCAAAAAGAAGAAAAAAAAAGAGAGAAAAAAAAAGAGAGAAAAAAGAAGAAGAAAAAAAAAACAACAACGGCCAAATCCTCTTCTTATACGGCATGACTCGTGCAGGGCCCAAGTGAAGTAAAGACACGTGATGCCTGCTCCTGTGGTCTATTTCCTGTCCCGCATAAACCCTCCCAAGTGGCGCGCGAGGCTGCTACTAATCACGTACCTGCAATCTTGGCTTCCTAATGGATCAGTGCCTTCTTGATTGAGCAAAAACCAGTTTGACCTGAATAGATTATCTGATTTAATGATACTGGATTAACCGTCGGTAGGCGTCTCATCGGAGTGATTTCCGGCACCCCCTGATCAACGAAGTCCATCGGGGGTCCTTTCGAATAAGCGTGGAAGTCCATCAGCAAAAGTACATACGCATTACTACCAACTCTTATTAAATAATTATTTCCTTCCACGATACACCAGATTCGATGATTTCCTTTCGATCTAGGTATGTGACGCGTTTTTGTTCAATCAGAGTTGTGGTTATCAAGATATTCGGGGCGGACAAGTAAAATTTAATTATTCTAGTTGGTTTTTGGCCATATTTTCCCTACTTTTTCATATTGACCCGCAATAGATGAATACATTTTATATGTTGATATATATATATATATAGGATACACATTTATAAACCTTTTTTTTATTTTTTTTTATTGAGCATGTAGTGATCCTCTTACGATTGTCCGCGAACTCCTTTGATCGTCCACTTTACATCCCAGTCAATGAAATCCTTCGAAAAACCCAATAGCTTTGCTTTTGATTCCAAGCATCGAGCCCACAGATCCAACTTATCGTTCTCGACTATTTTCGTTGGAATAAGCATTTGCTGCCGCGACCCGATCCCTTCAGTCCACGAGAAGCGCTGCGCTTTCTTAAGCTTTTTTGATGTCATCAACCAGATATAACCCTGTACAGTTTTTTTTTCGTCGCCCCAGAAGGATGTCGGGATAAAGGTCTTGTCGATGTTTTCCATTTTCCACTCTCTTGCTTTAATAGCACAGTACCAACTCCCTTCTTCCTCACCTACATGTCTATCACCAGGTTCTTTTCCTATTCCAATGGTTAGCTCCGCTAAATAAATAAGTCAACGCTCTATGTGAGTCAAACTCACCTATGTAAAAGCCACGTCCAGATTTATCCGCAGATAAAGGTTCCCCTACGTACAGCTTATTCTTTTCATTGACGCGCTTAGCAGCGTCCTAAAGTTCGCGTCGTTAGTATAAGGCTTATGCTAGATAAATGAAGTGAAGACTTTCTGCTGAAAGTGTTGCATAGCCGATCACTTTTCTACTCCGAAATCCGTGAGCCTCGCTAAATGAGAGAGGGCTTAAGGCGAGCAAGATCAAGATCGCGAAGACAGACTTCGAGCGTAGCATCGTACTTATTTATGCAAGTCGTCTAATGATGCGCGAGTTGAGGAAAAGGAAATAAGCTTGCATCCAAAGCAATAGTAATATTATCCACATGACAGCATGAGGATAGCGGAATAAACAGTCACACTTCTCTCACTCTGTACCTTATACATCCCAGCGCAAACAAAATAACCCACGTTTTCCTACGTAGTGTCCTCCACTCCAGTACCTACCTACATATCGACATCAACAATTTCCTTCCTTTTTCGCCTGCGAACCCTTCCTGTCTGTCTGTCTGTCTGTCTGTCTGTCCGTCTCTCTGTCACTGCCGACTTTTCTCCCCTTCAAAAGCTGTATCCGACATCTTGATCTCTTTCAGACATTGATATCTTCAAAACCCAACCACCACCCGCCGTCCACAACTCTGAAGCCCATTGCCCATCAAGATGGCCTTATCGGACGATATTCGGGTCGATGCAGAAGATCATCACGGGTCGGTGAGCGAGCATGATCTCGCGCAGGTACGTACATGTTACACGTTCGTTCACGGTACGACTTGGGAAAGCCGTATCTGGATACCTATATCCAGGGCATTTCTGCCTCAAATGCCACAAAGGCCCGCATTGCATGTAGTATGTGCATGCATGCATGCATGAATACCTACTATTACCTATTATCCGATATTCAGCATCAGCATCAGCATCGGCATCAGCATCGGCATCTCACATCTCCTATGTTGTCAAGTCAAATTCCCATGCCCCCTCGCTTCAACCATCTCCTGATTCCCAAACGCCGCTAACGCCACCACTCTCCCGTGCTCTAGACCCTCCAACAGATCGCAAGGTGCGTTGCCATGCGGATTCTCTGCCCGTCAACCAAAAACGCGCGCTCTTTTGTCTTTTCCCATGCCGGGAGCAATGCATGTTCGTCTTTTCTCCATGTTCGCCAGATGGCGCCGGACTGCTTTTCCGTCGGGCGAGGTTGAGTGGCCTCAAACACGACAGACCACTTTCCCAAACATCTGTCTGTCTACAGTCTGTGCTTCCCATCAGTCACCGTCTCGAGCCTTTCCCTTTCTGCGACATCATCCCCCCTCCTCGAATCCCTAAATCAAGCCTCTCCGTCCAACCCTCCCAGTCTACAATGTAGATTTCCGTTTCTGTATCTATCATCCAGGCCCCCGCCCCCCTAGCCACCACCCCCCAAAGATTCCAAATCCCAATCATGACCCCCAAGCCCCCCGGGGACACACCTGACACTTTCTCCCCTCACCTCCCTACCCTTTCCCCTCTTCTCCCAAACTTTCCAAAAATTTGACACGAATCCTCGAAACGGCGGCGGCGGCAGCAGCAGCCAGACTCGCGCGCGGCGTCTCCAGTACATACGTGACGTGCGTTGCCTGGCACCAGACGAGCTAACAGATGACCTTGGCATGATGTGTCTACAGAGGCGAGAAGACGGCCGAGGCACTCGAGTCGAACCTCACGAGCCTGGAGAAGAAGATTGACGACTTGCTCGCCAGCTTCGAGGAGACGGAGCGGAAGATGTTGCAGGAGCAGGGGCAGGGGCAAGGGCAAGGGCAGGGGCAGGAGGCGGAGGAGGCCAAGGGGAAGCAGGCTGGTACTGGAGAGGGGAAGGATAAGGGCAAGCCTTGAGATGGGACGTGAAGTGTCGTGAACGGAGATGTGTGTGTGTGTGTGTGTGTGTGTGTGTGTGTGTGTGTGAGTTGGTGGGTGGGTGGGTGGAAAGAGAAAGACATGGCAGAGATAGCGGCCTATTCTTCGAGGGGGGTGGATGTGGAGATACATGGACTACCCAATGGCACCGATTGCTATTATGCAGAAAGATGAAGTACGACAAAACACAATACGAGTTCATCTTCTTCTTCTTCAGATCTACCTACGGGATAAGAAGAAGGAAAGGAAAGAAAAGCTTCGGAAAGACAGAAAACAGAAAAATGCAGGATGAATTATACATTTCTACAAATAATGCCTTACACGCCCCTTCTCTTTCCCTCCCCTCCCCTCTCCTCCCAACAGCAGCCACGTTTCTCAAATGTACGCTGGATCCAGACCCAAACTCGCGATGACTAACTATACAAATAGGTATCCTGACTGTCCATCCTCAGATGAATGCCAATGCTCTCTCGCCCTGCGCTCAATATGCAGAAACCCCAAGACAGGACGTCTATACACACCCCTCCGTCACACAATCCATCTCCAACAGATCAATACTCCAAGCCCTCACCCCCGAGAATGTTCTTCAGGATCCCCGCTCCGAGTCCCTCCACAGCCTGCAGGACCTCCTTCTCACCCACACAGCTGCCCACTCTTCTCTCGTCCCCAACTCCGGCCCCAGCACCAAACTTCTTACTCTTCCTCTGCCCCGTCAGCCCCACGAAACTCCCATTGCGCCCATCCACGGCACTGATCAGACTCAGCGTCTCCAAACTCCCAATCACATCTCGAAACTCCGTGCTGGTAAGTGGATGCAGGATCGCGTCCTGCGTGCACAGTTTGCAGTAGATATCGTACAGAGCCTTGACGGTGGGAGCTGCATTCCTCGACTTGGAAGGTGTGGCAAGCAGGTTAGCGGCTGCATCGCGCTTCTTCTTCTCGACTGCTACCAGGGCGCAGAGAGCGGCCTTCTGTTGCAGGTTGAGGGCTTTGAGGCGCTGGTTGGCGCCGTTGCCGAAGGTCGAGGACGTGATCTTGTTAACGTGGGAGATTGAGGCTCGGGGTGCGGTTTCGACGGTCAGAGCGCCGAGAGACTGGGCGAGTGACTTCAAAGGGACCGATTTGGCGGCAGAGGGAGAAGAGGCGAGGTTGGTATTTTCGCCGAGGGGGTTCTTGGATGGAGACTCGAGCAGAAGTTGTTCGTGGAGAGCCTCCTCGTGCTTCTGCTTCGTCTCGGATTCCACGAGATCGATGGCGCGTCTGCAGATGTCGAAGGCTTTTCGCAGGTCGCCGCTTTGGCTTGAAACTTTGCGGGAGCAGAGCTCAATGGCGGCTGGATGGAGGAATGGGACGTAGTCGGGAGTTGGGCTATCAGCGGCCACGAGAGACTTTAGTCGCGTAACGATCACCGTCTTGATTTGCACTGCGCTGTATGGCAGAAATGGAAGAAGCTGGGGCTTCAGATTTCGGGCCTTAAGTCGAGGAAGGAATCGATCGGTCATGTCCAACGCGTTCGCAATGCCAACCAAGATTAGACGTGAGGACTTCTGAAGGGACCACTCGAACAGCTTGTACATGATCTCCAGGTCCAGGGTGAGGATGTGATCGATTTCGTCGAGGGTGACCACATAGACCGTCTTGTTCTTCTTCCTTGACACAAACATTCCCTGCAGAGTCATGATCTCGTCTCCCTCCAAAATTTCAATACCATCACACAAGTTCTCCAACAGATTTGCTTGCAGGTCCTTTGACGTCTTCATGCTCATACAGTTTATGTATGCCTTCTTAATGGTCGGTGAAGCCTCGAGAGACTCGGTGACCTCATTGACCATGGCGCTCTTGCCAGTTCCCGGTGGTCCACTGACATAAGTACATCCTCCAGATGTCTTGGCGATGCAATCCTTGACGAAAGTCGACAACTCCTCTCTCTCGGCCTCTCTACCCACGAGTCTTCCGGGCTCTGTGCTACGCGTGAAAAGCTGTCGGGCGCGACTGTATACTGTTGCGATCGATCCACCAGGTGTGACAGGAGTTCGAGGAGTCCGAGGAGTCAAGGGCTTTCCGGTGACCATAACGCGGTGTCTAGGTGTAGTGGGCACGGTCTTTGAGAATGCATCGTAGTGTCGAGGAGTCTGCGGTGTGAGGGTTTGAATGCGCCTCGGATAGGGATCTATTTCGACTCAGTAATATTCTACGAAAGAAGACGCGTATACTGACCATCCCGGGTCGTCTTGACTTTCGAGGGAGACGAAAGGATTCTTCGCCCTGCGGCCCCATGCTTCGCAGGCGTCGATTCATCGATATCCACTGGCTCGCCATCTTGAGATTGAGTACGCGTAGGTTTGGACACGAATGGGTTTTCGTTCTCGTCGTTGAAAATTTTCGATTGTTGGTTGGTTTTGACGCGCTTCGATACCGAGATTTTTAGTGCAGGACTCGGGATGCTCGTCGAGCTTCGTGTCCGCTTTCCCAAAGTAGAAGCCATTCTGTCGGATGGTTCCTGCTGTTGTGTGTTGGTCGCGATGGAGGATTTCCTTTGCTATTACGGATTGGCAGCGTGGCATGAGAAGTAATAGTCGCGATCGTGAGGCGTTCGCGTGATGGGTGCAAGGATCCTTATTCGACGTCTAATCACGTGCATACCACCCCGTGACACATATCCCTACTTCACGCGTTCGTAAGCCTCTCAACACCCTCCAGACCGGTGAGCCCCCACAGGAACCCATGCCCCGAACTTTTGGTACACCTTCCCCCTTTTCCTTCGAATATACTACAGTAGTAAGTATCGGAAAATATTTTTCGTCTCGTACCCTTCCTCTTCCGTATATGGCCATTTTGGTAACGAGCCAGGGAAACCACTGGGGCGAAAACCTGCTCCATATAATCTTCCAACCTTCCAATCAAAAGTCTTGTCTTATATTCTGTATTGCTTCAAGATGTATTTTCAAGCTAAGCACACTTGACATGATAGGACCGCACTCTTTGCATGTTTGTTCAGCTTTTGTGAACCTTCTTATGTCTTGTAAGCGTATTTAAGCTGGCAAATAGTAGTATTTTCCCACACTCTTTGCATGTAATTAAGCCTTTATGGAGCTTCTTACTACTATATCTTACAGGACCATCTGGGCGGGCAAATATCTTTCCGCACTCTTCACCTGTCTCTGGGTTTTTAAAGTGGCAGGTTGTCCGCTTCGGTGCCTTTAATATCTTCGCTGTTTTCGATTCTCTTATTCTCTGGTTTTTGGTTACCATGATGAAAGGGCGAAGCAGATCTAGGTAGTTCCGAAACTCCATCGTACTTCCAATTATTAGCTAAGCCCTCAAAATAGTATCAATACGTACAAGCTTTAATATATCCCGCAGCCAATTATGCGTAGCTTGCGGAATTAAATACGGGGCGTGCTTGTGTTCTTCGTGATCGCATATTCCGTTAGTAATAGTCCGATGCTATGCCTCAAAGCTGGTCTCTCCGCGCTCAATGTTAACGCGTGGAGTACCGTATCTTTCAGTCTGGTGCTCGTGCGTGGATAAAGATCTGAGCTTCTCTTCTCTATTCAACCTTGGGCCCTATCGTATGCCATCGATCTACCTATCTACCTATCTACCTATCCTCACCACCTCTTCCTCCTCCTCTCCCCCTTCTCCTCCTCCCCAGCGGCAATGCATCTCCCATCTCCCGTCCCAGCGCTTGTACCTGTGCCTGCAACGTTTCGGAATGACCCATCGGACAGCTGTAAGTACCAGCTAAGTACTTAATAGTGGGCCTTGACGTCGCAACTTTTGGGGCCCTTCCCTAAAGTGGGCGAAAAAATTATGTCCCGCGAAAAAATTATGTCCCGCTTCAACGCCAAAAATCGCGGGGAACGTAGACACTTCAACAACACTTCAACACAACATTTTCTATCAAACATTGACCTACGTACCCAAATAAAAATGGGCAAAAAACGCGCGCGCGCTCTTGCACCTCTTGATCCTAATTCTAAATACCAGAAGCTCTTAAAAGCTTCTCAACATAAGCGAATACAGCTAGCATTCGAATAGCTCTTCGAAAACCCTTCCGAAACACCTCTTATTGCGAGTCGCATTCATATGATAAAGAAGCTTGATACTTTAAAGCGAAGATAAAATAAGTATCAAGCTAAACAAGCTCGATTAAAAGAAAGGAAAGCGCTACAAGTAGGGAGGCTTATGGTTCTATCAGCAGCACAGCACAAAGCTGTTTTGATCTACGCCGCAGATCAAGCAACTAAAAGAGGGAAAGGAGCTACTAAGCGTATGCTTTATCGATGCATTTGCTACCTTAAAATACAAAAAAATAAGCTAGAACCTTCTTAGCGTTGGTTTCAATCTTAGTTGAGAAATACAGCAGAACTCTATGCTATACGGACCAAACTAATCGCATCTTATCGCGTCGATATGCATACCGAGAAATCTCTCTCCAACTAGTTCCATACCGAGCTTGTTCCTGCTATCTAGTTCTGCGGAATTAGGCTTAAAGATAAGCATAGAATCGCAAATATGGATAAGAAAAGCGCGCGGATTTGTATGCCGGCCGGAGAAGAAGTTATCGTACCTATCGGAATCAAAGAAATGTATATAAGAATCTATGAAAATCGACTATCCGTAACTGTGATCGAAGCTATTCTTGCCGATAGAAAAGCTATTCCTCCAATGATTATTATGCCCGGAAAGCAAATTATAGCGTCTTAGTTTTCCGAAAAGATGACTGGACATGAAGTTGTCACTGTTTCCGAATCCGATTATACGAACGATAAGATTACTATAAAGTAGCTTAAGCACTTTATTAAGCATACCGATCAAGGACCCGATAAACCGTAGATGATATTATTACTTAATAGTCAGCTTTGCTACGAAGCTTCAAATTTCATTCTATTAGCTAAACAAAATCGTATATAGCTTATCAAATTCCCTTCTTATCAAACTCATCTTTTACAACCTCTCGATGTCGGCTGCTTTCGCACTTAGAAACATAATCAACAATGTGCTATCATAGATGCTATTCGAGGCTTCGAAGCTGAATATACTATCTCATCGTTTATGCGAGACCTTTTTTAAATTCGCGAGCAAACTTTTACAACTCGGAATATCAAACACGCTTTTCGAGATGCAAGAATGTGGCCGATCAGCTTTTCTCAAATTCAACGCAAATTGAAAGAGTATAGTAAAAAGAGTAAGAAAGAGGCGGGATTGCATATACTCGAGTACGAAGAAACGTTTGATCTTAAAGAAAATGAATATTCTTTTTCAATCGATAAGCAACTTAACGAATTACCTTTTCTTGCGCTACCTCGACCTCCTTAATCTTTTCAAGATTGCGTAAAGCAACTCGACGATCTAAACGATAAGATCAGAATAGCTCTTTCTTCTCTTAGCCGCTAACGCTTCGATATCGCGAAACAAAGTACCGAGACTTGGTTGTTACGAGAAAGCTTTGATCAAGCAGAACTCGATAAAAATCAAAAGCTTTAGCGCGATACACATCGGAAAAAGCTAATTAGAAAGTCGAGTTTGCAAACGGAAAGGAATATACTAGCTTCTAAAGCACTCGAAAAAGTCAAGGCTATAGAGATAAAAAAGCAAAAAGCTAGTCTTAAGATAGCGAACGCTAAACTTAAATCAGCAACGATTAAAATTCGAAACGATCGTTATAATCAAGGAGTTCTTGATCGGAAAGCCGAAAAAGAGCGAAAGAAATAATTGAACGAAGCGTATAAGCAACAAGGTCGAAGGATTCTTATACACATTCCACCCGAACGAAAAGTCCTTATTCGAGACCGCGAAAAGCAACCTACAACAGAAGAACTAGAAGCTGATAATATTGATTTGATTTCTTTTCGAGACGCAATTGCAAACGAAGAAGCTGCGTTAAAAGAAGTTTAAGAAAGAGATCTTGCTATATTCGCGGACCCTTCGTATTCAATCGATCCTTAAATCCTTACAAAGGAAAAACGCTTTCGAATCAGACAAAACCCATTATCTTGCATTCAAATTAGCGATGACGACGAAGATGAAAGATTAAATACCTTACCTTCGTCTCCTTTAGCAAAAATGATGCTTATTAAGTGAGAAGAGCTTGAAAAAAAGCTTGAAGAGAAAGAAGATTCGATATCGATTCGATCTGTAGCATCTTTTAATTCAATTCAAAAGACACGCGGTGAAATAATTTTTTCGTAGCTTAATTAAGAATGAATAACATTATTAAATATATATATATATATATTATTGCAACGTTGTGAGCAATGTTATGAGCAATATAAGTGTCTACGTTCCTCGCGATTTTTAGCGTTGAAGCGGAACATAATTTTTTCGCGGGACATAATTTTTTCGCCCACTTTAGGGAAGGGCCCCAAAAGTTGCGACGTCAAGGCCCACTATTAACTACATCTGATATCTGTAGCCGCCGGGCATCCTTGTTCAGCCCCGCCAATCATGGGGGTGGCACGTCTTCTGCTTCTACAACCCAAGAATCAAGCCATCCGATGTTGATCTGTCAAGCGCTGACTATTACCCAGCCAGCTTCATGAGCGCATCTGCCCGTGTTTCGTTTTTTGCATCTTCCATCATCGTCGTACCAATTCTCAGCTTTGCGCAACCATATCTCCCTACCTAGGTCCTTCCTTACCTCTCTCTCTGCCTCTTTCCATCGTGGTCGCAGAAGCTCGGCCTCGAACTCATTACGACAACCCCGCATTGCCCAAAGCTCATCTCTCTACGGAGCAGATACCGGTACCCCAGAACTTTGACAACTCCAATATCCTACAAATAAAAATAACACTTGGTGCGTCACCAGCCGAACTCTCATTGGATCGTGCCTACCCTGTGCTGTGCATAAAGATGGCCGGCCGTCAAGGCAAGCCAGAGGAGGAGCTCTTTTTCCAACGACCCTCGAACGGAGAGGATAGCCCTACTGTCGAGCCTTTGAGAATATCCAAGCCGCTCAGTCCCAAGCCTCGAACAGAGTCAGCCTCCTCAGGCCGAGTCAACTATCTTCCTCCCTCCAGCAAGAACGGCTTCCCTCTACCTCCGGGCGCATCGAGCTCTGCCAGCCCTCTGCCGTATCCCGATGACCCCGACCTCTGCACCAGACCTTCCGAGTCTCGAAATAGGCGCCCTCCATACCCTGAAGACCCGAGAGTGGATTCGGGCAGGAAAGACTCGGGAAGTCCTGCAGGAAGTCCAGGCAGGGAACAGATAAGATCAAGTGGTGGAAGGACTCCTTCAATCGACATCTCGTCGCGGCTGACGACCAGCCCTATTGACAAGAGGGGACCGGGTCTGGCAGAACGAAGGGGGACTGCGCCCAAACCTCTGCCAGATTCTCCTGGTTCAGATCTGCCAGATAAAGAGGGGCTGTGGGCCAAGCAGCCCACAAGAGATCCCAAGCCCTCACCTGCTGCATCACGTCCGGCCCAGTCAAGCACTCCTTCATATCCCGAGTTCCGCCAGCAATACTACCCTCCACCTGTTCCAGATACAGCTGAGCTGAATGGAACATCTTCTTCAGATAATCTGATCGCTCCCAACGCGATGAACCGATTCGCCTCTACTGCGTCGACTTCAACTACCAGGGCCACGAGAGGCTCACCCCCTCCCCCAGAGACACCAATCGAAGGACCTGGAGAGCTGCCCGGTGGTGGAATCGAAGCTCGATATGCAGCCGCAGGAATTTCAGGGACTGCTACCTTAAGCAGTCTCCAGGCACAGAATGCTGCAGCTGCGCAGAGACAACACCAGTATGGACCTCCGCCAGTCCCCCAGCTTCCTCAGTCGCCTGGCCTCCATCCAGTCCAGCATCAGAATATTGTCAGGCCTTGGACACCTACCGAGTCTCCAGATCAGCAACCTCATGGCCCACCAACCGTATACCAAGGGCCAAAACAGGTGACAAACTCGTCGCCTCCCCGAGCACAGCAGCAGCTTCAACAAGGTGGACCCAGTGCAACAGGCCAATCCAATGCACTCGAACAGGATTTCCAGCGGATGCAATTGTCGCCGTCCCCTCCTCCAGCCTATTCTAGCGTGACCCCGGGTGGCACCGGTGGAGCTCAAACTTACCCTAATGAGAAGGGCCGTACCGGTAGTGTACCGGCCGCAATAGCGACCGGCCCTAAACCTAACATCGCTTCTCCTCTCACGTCTCCGGCATTACAACACCCAGGACATCCAGCTTTTGCAAATGATCCAAGAGAAGAAGTACAGCGCCCTCAACAGCAGCAAGCTGCACAAACAGCCCCTGTACAACAGTTTGCCAATTCATCGCCCTTCCAGGGCGCCGGCCCGAGCTCACCACCGCCTCTTCCGGAAGGATGGATTGCCCATCTAGACCAGAATTCTGGACAATACTACTACATCCATCTCCCAACTCAAGCTACGCAATGGGAATTCCCCAAGGGACCTACGCCTCTGAACCACCCTGACACTGCACCATTGTCACCCACGGTGTCGACGTATGGAAACCCCCTCGCTTCTCCAGGGTTGAGTGCTTTTGGCAAGACGCCTCTAGGATCACCTGGATTTGCACCCCACACCCCAGGCTACGCGGAGAGTATTATGAGCATGACTTCTCAGGCCCCAACTGCTGCGGGATTCTCAGGTCCTCCTCCAAGTGCTGGAGTTGATATGTACAAGATTGCCCCTACGAATGGAGTGTACTTTGGACCATACCTCCGATACGTGAACATGAACCTGGAGCGAGGCGTCTGGCTGGGTAGCATAATGCTTGTGACTGATGGTCCGCAACCGCCAACAATTCATATCCATCGAAGCGTTGACTTGTCTCCTAACCCACGTCAATTGAAAGCTAGCCCCATCTTCACCCATCAGCGATGGGTTTTCTACCGTTATGATATAGACTTGCAAATGGGTGATGGGCCAAGCGACAAGTGGACTTATGCAATCACCTCGCACCTGGGGTGTACACGCTACGAGTTCTTAGTAGCAGGTCGCCACGAGACAAACTGGAGATTCATAGCACATTCCGGTAATGATTTTGCCATGAACACCAGCGTCAATGAGCGTTCTAAACTGGGCGGGATAGGCTTCATGTGGAAAGATATCTTACAGAAGAACGTTGAATGCGGTGGTTTCCACGTGCAGCTAGGGCTCGGTGATCAGATCTACGGAGACAGGTTATGGAAGGAAATACCGTTGCTCAAGCAGTGGTTAGCTATGAGCGGAAAGGAAAACAGAAAGACCGCTGCTTGGACCGCTAGGCATGAGGAAGATGTTTCTCACGCCTACTTCCACTACTATACGAGTCACTTTGACCAGCCATACCTGCGAGAGGCATTCGCTCAGATTCCTCACATCCTCCAAATCGATGACCATGACATGTAAGGCAGCAAAAATTTTTCCTCTTGTATCCAAGTACTGACATGAGCAGTTTCGACGGCTTTGGCTCCTATCCCGACTACATGCAATCCTCCAACATGTTCAAGAACATCGGCCGCGTCGGTATCGAGATGTACCTCCTCTTCCAACACCACACTACCCTGGAAATCCTCCGCAATGTCAACTCGGACATCGACCTCTTCACCATCACCGGTTCAGGGTGGCACTTTGTCAAGTATCTTGGCCCAGCCGTCGTAGTTGTCGGTCCTGATTGCCGCTCAGAACGCAATCAACGACAAGTACTTGCTGGTCCTACGTACCAAGGCTTATTCCCAAAGGTAGCGACTTTACCGCCTAGTGTGCAGCACTGCATATGGATGATTTCCGTGCCGGTCATATATCCGCGCCTGGATACTGTGGAAAGCATCGCGCACACGATGGCGACAGCTAAGAAGGGCGTCACTGGTACATATAACCTGCTCGGCAAGGTAACGAGTTCCGTAGCGGGTGTGGTAGGTGGCAAAGAAGCTGTGGCTTCCGGTTTCAGCCAAGTGAAGAAAGCAGTCGGAAAGTCTGGGCTGATGGGCGGTGTCCTGAACACGTTCGGCGACATTGACATCGCGGACGAGCTGCGCGACATGTGGACTCACGAATCGAAGGATCTAGAGCGGACTTACCTGATCAGAACGTTGCAAGGAATTGCCAACCAAAAGGGCCTGCGCATGACATTCTTGTCTGGAGGTGAGCTAGCTACATCCTGCTCGAAATAACCAATAATACAAAGCTGACAACAGACCGTACAGACGTCAACTGCTGTGGCGCAGGCCTCGTCCACGATCCCTCCCATCCCTCCGACCACAAAACTATGTACCAAGTCATCTCGTCGGCCGTCGTCGCGGCCCCACCTCCATCCTACGTCCTGAAGCTGCTGCACAATAACAAGCCGCTGTACGTACCCGCCAACGGCCAGAAGACAACCAACCAGGTCTCCGACACCAAGGAGGACATGATGGAGATCTTCCAGACAGACACGAACGGCGGACCGCGCGAGATGAAGAAGCTGATGGGCCGCCGGAACTACGTCGCATTCGTAGCCTACGACCCGGAGAACGTGCCTGGCAGCAGCGGCTATTCGAGCGCCGGCAGCGTGAGTGCCGGCCAGAGCGGGCTGGCGAAGCTGAGCCTGGCCGTCGATTTCATCGTACAGGGGGATAGCGGGTTTGCGGCGCCGACGAAGTATGGGCCGGTCATTATTCCTAGCTTGGAGTTTGGGAGATGAGCTGGTGACCGTGATGTGCTTGACGAGTTTTTGTTTTGGCGAAGAATGAAAGCAGGACTTGTTGGTTTGGTTTGGTCGAGCGAGCAAGCAAGCGCAAGCATCTGGAGAGGGGCAAAGGAGTTGTACGGCAGCGCCTGGGATTTATGAACGAACGCTTTTTATTTTCGCCTCTAAATTCCCCCTGACTGAATAAAGCGTCCTATCACACCCACCTGGTCCGAATCAGAATATGTGCTGTGCAAATATAGTTCCTGTTCAGAATCAAGCCTGTGCTTCTAAAATGATCGACTCTCAATGCCCGCTGCCCGCGTGCGGTAGTCAGAGGTCAAATAATTTCTTGATCTGCGCGGTGGTATCCGCGATATCCTTTACGCTATGCCCAATCGTCCTCGGATCGGAGAAGATCTCGTGGTCATTGCCCCCGACCTGGGTCTGGTCGCCGAAGAAGTGGATGGTGGTGTACTCGATGCCTCCCGGCAGCTTGGCGTCGTTCTCGAGGTGCTGCAGGCAGTACCGCTTGTCCCAGCCGTTGGGGAAGACGTCGAAGGAGATTTGGCCCCCGATTGAGTACCTGCCCACCCATCCATGAATCAGCCCTGCCATGCCCTGCGGCTCCCAACCCCTCCCGGTCCCGATGGAATCATCCTGCACATTGCAAGTGGGGGAGAGCCGGTACTCACGTCAACCCCAACTCGGCAAACTCCGCCCTCAGCGCCTCCACGAACCTTGCCCGGATCCCGTGCTCCAGATCAAACTTCTGATACTCGTCCCTCTCCCTCGGACTGGCGTTCCTCCCAATGGGGCTCACGTTCACCATGCCGTTCCGAAACTCCACAAAGGTGCCCCGCTTCACGGGGATGTCCAGGTCCGCAATGTAGTGCAGGATGAAGCGCACCAGCCTCTTGTAGTTCTCCTCGCCGAGCGTCTGGATGAAGGAGTTGGAGGGGAGGGGCGTGCCGAGCTTGAAGGCCGTGAGCCCGTTCTCCGAGAAGCAGAAGTCGAAGAGCGTCGTGACGGGCGCGGCGGCCGGGATGCCGATTTGCTCTTGCTGCTTGGGGAGGTCGGAGCCGCCCACGAAGCCGATGGCTACCTTGTGCCGGAGCTGGGCGAGGAGGGCGAGCATTTCCGGGGTGGCGTCCTGGATAGAGGTTGGGGTTAGCAAGAGGGTTGTGGTGGTTCTCGTCGTGGAGGGGAGCTAGCTGTGATGCTGAGGGCGATGCTGGAACTCACTTACCCCGCGGGGATAGGTGAGGGTCCCATCGACGTCGAAGAGGACGATTGTGTTGGCGATGGGACGTTTGTCGAGCGGTGGGTAGGAGTCTGCCATTTTGACTGCTCTGGAGGGGGTACTTCTTTACATGCGTTGAAGAGGCTGAAAATGTTGAACAAGAAGGAAAGTCGAGAGAGATAAGCGGTCTAGCTGAAGCGGATGCGGGGTGTTACTATAGGAGCTAGAGGTCACCCCACTATAGCTAGACCCCTCATCTCATCGAGCTAGATCCCTGCTCATCCATCGTTGTTCAACAACAGCTCCGTATTAATCATAATATATTGCTATAGCACCATTATAGCATAGCATTTTTAGAGCGTTCTTTATCCGCTTGTTCTTTAATTTCTTTGACTACTTTCTCTTACGATCAATCCCAGCCATTGTTCTTTTTCGTAGATTGCTCCATCTGTAGGTCTACACTACTCTTCATCAACCACAACTCCCCACTCGTGATCTTCGTTGCCATACGTGATATCGTAAAGCCACTGAGAATTGTACAAGTTAGAATGTCTTCAGCCAGCCTGGAGTTTTTGAGGAGTCCTACTTTTTTCAATACAGCAGCATAATACCCACTCGCACCATCACCCATCTTGACATCAAGTTCTTGCTCCCTGAAATTGATCGCCGAAACGGGGGCAATAAAATACTAAGCGTTGTATTAGCAATCACCATGCATATCCCATGAGCGACAGTAACGAAACACTCACAGCAGTTCCGGAGACGAAGGCCTCGACCAGCCGTCCTTCCTTCCAGGCTTCTACCAATTCGATCATTGTGAAAGTTCTCTCGACAACCTCTAGTTCTCGGAGATTTTGGGTGAGGTGCTTCGACCCGCTTGCAAGCCTGTCTCTGGCAAGTTCGAGGACACTTCGCCTCGTTACTCCATCTAGAATGATCTTGCTGTCCAAGGGCGCCGTTACGAGCTGCAGCTTGCCTTCCTTGGTCTTCCAAACAACGAAGAAGTTACTTGCCCCAGCTTCAGTGACCTATAAAAGTAGATTGTTAAACTCGCACATTTTCTGAACATGCCTCAATCGTATCTGATGAGTCCGGGATAAGGGCCAACTCACCTGGAAGTCAGACCCGAGCAACCACAAGATCTGATCGTACCCCATCTTCTTGCCCTCCATATGGCTTACGAACGCCGGTCCATAGTTAGCACCGACTTTCGCATACCCGAAGCCACCAGGCCACGCCCTCACATCACTCTTCGAAGCGAGCAGCTTCAGCCCAGGCGGCTTCTCCACTGCCCCAGGCCGGGTCGCCGAGAAGTCAGGCCAAGCCACGGCCACGATAAACAGGAGACACTCTGACGGCGCCGTAGGGTTGATCTCTGGACCATTACCAATCATGGCTGGGCGGATGTAGAGGAAATTCCCAGGTCGGCTCTTGGGCAGCCATTCTTCAAAGTGCCATGTGTCAGTGAAGTATTCCCTCGATCAAAGATTGGGTGAGCTCACTAGGACCATCCACCTTCAAGAAAGCCTTCAACAGCTTCTCCAGCTCTCGAGGGTCGAAAGGGGGTAGAGCTACGCGGCCACTGCTCATCACCAGCCTGGCACAGTTCTTGTCGGGTCGGAAGATTCGCAGCTTGCCGTCGTAGCCACGATACACCTTCATGCCTTCGAAGCACTGGGTAGCGTAATGGAGACACGACGCAATAGGCGACATGGTCAGCGGCCCGTACTGCTTGATCTCCGGAGCATGCCAGCCAGCATCAGATGTCCACGTGACCATCAACACTGCAGCAGATCAGCTGAAGCCTTCCACACCCTCCCATATGGAGGAGCATCCATATACCCCTCCTGTAGCCCAAGTATAACATGAAGCCCTCGTCGAGCCCATACCCGCATGTGAATGGAACGAGACGAAACTCTCCGCGGGCCAGCAGGACAAAACTCACTATGATCCGTACACGTCTTCATACCCCACACCGCGTCCGAGTTAACCTCCGGCACCTCCCTCGGCGCCGTCGTCTTCGTAACCGTCAACTGCGACGCATCGAGCTCCTTCAGGGTGGGCTCGACCTCCGCCCTCTCCTTCGCGGCCGCCACGCCCGAATCCGTGAGGTGGTTCACGCTCTCCACTGCGTGGCCGCTCATGATTATGAAATACCTCTCTCCGAAAGAAACAGATTCCCCCTCTAAAGATCCTCTGCTTCTGCTCCTGCTTATGTTGTATAGGCAGCGAAAATCGGGGTTGTATGTTGAGATGGATCGACGAGGGTCGTGAGAGGAGACCCGCCTCGATGGCATGGTGCTACAGCTGCCAAAGGTGGATAGTATAATAATCGTCGGCTCGCTTAGGTGGGCCTCCTTACATTCTTTTAGTCTACGATTAGCCTGGGGCCACCAGGATGGGCTAGAGTGCATGTCCCACCTTTGGGGCTACCGGTATATAGACATCTCCTAAAGAGAGGAGCTTATGATAATACATCCTCGCCTTATGCACCTCCCCCCTTTAAAGTGGTCACTGCCGCAAAGACGTCTTTTCGCAAATCCTTTGAACCGCAGTCAAGTGCTAGAAACTCTTAAGACGAACACTATCAAACGACTCATACCCGGCCGAGAAAAACGACCTTAGACCGAAACTAAAGCGCTTTCATACTAAAATTGTAACGATCACCCTTCTCTATACTTGTAACCTAGATTTTTTGATTACTTTCCATACCGCACACCTTACGTATCTAACTCAAAGCAGATTATAATATTTAAAATCTTATTAGCCCATTGCAAGAATCAACACTCCTCTTAAAAAGCCTTATTCCTTCGCAGAATCTCGATTAAATCGAAACCTGTCGGTACATCAACATCGACCCGCCGTGCCATAGTTGGGAGGGAAAACGGCAGGTTCGGCTATCTCAGGCACGGATGAGCATGCCTCGCTTAGCGTGGCATGCCCTCAGGAAACCCCCAGTTTCGTAGTACGGTAAACACCATTAGGTACCGGTAGGTATATAGCTAGCTAGTGCACGTGACTCCTTCCATTCGCACAGAAGGCGTCAGCGGCCCTGAACCTTGGAGAGCAGACAGGAATCGAGTACCATTTTTTCCCCATCGTTTTTGCAATTGCAAGAAGCTGCGTGCGCTGCACGCTAAGCGATACGAACGTTCGCTACCGGTGATCCAACAGAGAGCACAACAGCTTTTTACTTTTACACTTGTCTCTTTTTCTTTTCGAAATCAAGAGATATCTTATTTCACTTTTGAAAAATACGATGCTTTACTTTTGAATCATTCATTCGACTTTGAGCTTTCCGTTTCCACTATCACCCACCGTCTATTATCATCTACCGTACATATAGCTTCGATTTTATCAAGCGCAAAGCTAAGCTCTCTCATTAAGATGTCAGGAATAGGAAGCGCAGTCAGGTGAGCTGACTACGTACGTTCTACATATACCTACTACAATAGGCAAGTGAGGAGCGTTCTCAGTGATCACGTCTTTTTGGCCCGTTGAGCCCCGTAGTAAAGCAATCCAGCTGTTGCTTCGGAGTCAAGACTTAAAAAGGAAAAAAAACCAAAGACCAAAGGATAATAGTCAGTGCACTGACTATTAATTAAAATAATCACCGGATATTAAAAAAAGAATTAAACACCCAAAGAGAAACAAGTCTAAAACATTTGAGTAAGAGCAATCAAGGAGTATAAATAACCTTTTTTTTTTCTTTTCTTTTCTTTTTTTTTTAAAAAAACCCCCCCCAAAAAACGAAAAAAGTATAAAAGCCAAGCAGCAATCCATCGATCAGAAGGAGCTCGACAATCGCGTAGAGGAAAATAAATACAGAAGAGAGGATATCCAGATCCAGGCAAAGAAAGGTGCTTTGCCTTTGCGCTGTATATTCGGGCCCAGCACGCTCTCATTTGATGATGATATCTCCCCGGGACAGCAGACAAAGCCGCCAACGGCGGATCCCGTGAAGGCTGTAGAACGTGTGTGTAGCTGCTGGCTGCTCAGGAGGGTTCGCGTAGAGGGACGAATCCAATTAATTTTTTTTTTTTTTTTTTTTTTTTTTGCTTTTTCAGGTCTTCTGTAGGGATGTCATGTATCTAGATGACAGGGTCTCTCGTTGGGAATCCAAGTTTCGTATGGATATCGAGGTGAGCTCAATAAGCTTTAGCTTAAATGAAAAGTCGCTCTACCCTTCCTTGTATTGCAGTACTGCAGAAGATAGACTTGGCTCGGTGGAGAGTCGATAAGAAGTCACCATCGTAATGAGTTTTCACATTTGACAATAACGAAGGATGGCTAGAGTGCGTGTCGTCAGTTGAGGATGAAGGATCTTTAGCGAGGAATACAAAAGCTCGTCTCTTCCAGTCCTCGGAGACTCCCGGGACGTTGCGTGAATTCCAAACTCATCTAGAGATCTGGGCACCGTATGTATCTCTCTTACAGACCAAGTCGGCAGGATACCAACTGCCCTCCGGCAATGCAGAATGACTACAGGTTCAAGACTCCAACGCTATGCACAGATATATCGCATCAACATATCACTCATCACTATCATCCTCCACAACCTTCCTCTTCTTCCTCCTCGGCGGCTGCAACGGTTCTTCGTCCTCATCGTCTTCCGTTTGCTCATCGGACCCGATCCTCACAGGCGCTTTCGAATGATCTGGGCTAATTGGAGCCGGATCCGACTTGCCCTTTCCCCCAATTAAAGTCTGCAAATCAGGTATCTCATCATCATCCTCATCATCCTGCGTATTCGAGAACTGAGTCGGCACGAAGAACGGTCTAGCCTTCGGAGTTGCTTCCGGCGGCGATGTTGAAGACCCCCTCATTCTGGATCTCGCGGCACTGGATTCGACGTATTGAGTTCCGTCAGCGATGAAATTCCGAAGACTACCAAGATCGGAGTCTTCGTCCTCGGAGCGATCTTCGCTGCGAATCAGGTCTCCTTCTCCCTCGCTATCCGAAGAGAATCCATCTCGTCTCCGGCGAGCACGACATACAGAAGATGTGGGATTATTATCATCGCCCTCACTGTCGATGTCAGAAATGAACATGGCCATTCTCTGGGCCGGTTCCTTCTCAGGCCATTGATTTTTCCGCTCCATTGCTGTGGCTTTCGGTGTGGGAGTCTCGCCTTCATTGTGACGAGATCGTGCTAGAGCTTTCAATGCCTTTGCCTCATCTTCAATAAGGTACTGCGGGTCCCAGAATCCCCGAGAGGGCTCCACATCTCCGTATGGCTTAACATAACGGTCTTCGACGCTTTGGGAGTCCGCCAATTTTCTGAAAAGATCTACGCATTTGCTCGTAAAGTGGCCATGAGGGACGTTGACAGCCGGACCAAGAGTTCGTTGAGCTGTCGTATGAGCACCCATATCAGGTACGCTGACTTCTTGGGATTCATTGCCGCAAACGTTGATGTATCGGTCCACAAATTCTCTGTCTTCTGCAGGGGTAAGGAACACCGATTCCGGCGGGATGATAGGAGCCAGCAGATCCTTCGCTGGCGCTTTCTTGCGCTCTTTAGGCTCCACTGTTACTCCAAAATCTTCCAGGATACCGCCGTCTTCTGTCAATCTGGAGGCCTTGTGGAACCCCGTTATTACACCATCTGGCATGTGAAACTTCTTCTCGCGCTTCTTGGCCTTTCCTTTGGTCGCTCGTCGTCTCGGTTCGGGCAGTGCTGGGCCTTGGGTATTCTCGAAAGGAATCTCGATTTGCCTCTTATCCACAACTGGATTGACCTCTCTGGGAACAATTCGAACCGAGAGGTCGTGTCGGAATCTGAAGCGTTCTCCTGAGCTAATCATCTTCTGCATCTGCTCGTAGTTGTCTTTGGCCTTGCGGAAAGCGTCTTCTTCTTTCCCACGCATCAAAAGCAAGACGATATGGCCCGCTCTCTTTCTTCCTGTTCGTCCCATTCGCTGCAGCATGCGTATTGGAGAGCCAGATGCATCATAGCACACGATCAGATCTACCTGGCCAATGTCTAGACCTTCCTCACCAATTGAGGTCGCCACAAGGACGTTGAACTTTCCAGTCTTGAAGAAATTGATAGTCTCCTGTTGCTTCGCCTGGTTCATTCCTTCCGATCTTTTCGAATCCGCCTGTCCGACAAAGACAGAGGCCCTGACCAAGGGACCATGCCTATTAAGAACACGGGCAATCTCTTCGGCACTGTCACGGTATTCCGCAAATACGATTACTCGAGTACTTGAAGGTGGGGCATCCTCCCCCAGCCTGCCTTCTCCCGCATCCATGAAGTGGTTCAAAATAGTGTCACACAGATGAGTCAGTTTCGGGTGGCCAACGGAATCATCTTTGCTACGCGAAAGATGGATTATGTCCATCATCTTCTTGAATTCTGGACTTTGAGTGATCTGGGTTTTGTACTTCGATGGCTTTTTGCTGTCTTCCGAGCCATGTTGAAACTCTTTTATAGCCTCGTAGAAGGGTCCAATTCCATGAAAGTTGAGTAGTTTGATGCTGTGAGCAACACTGCCAAGAATAGAAAATAGGGCATTCATCATGTACTTATGTGGAATGCTGGCGTTTCGACCTTGGTCCATCATCCACTTCTTCCGTGCTTGTAGCATACCAAACGTGGTGAGCGACATTGGGTCTCTATTGTAGTATGCGTTCTGTCCGCAAAGCTGTGTCACAAGTGGCTGGAGTGCCTTGGAGAAGAGCTCTTTCGCCTTGATGATCTCATCCGAAGGATCGAGAATTACTTGATCGATATTCCGCTGATGCACGTATTGCTGGATATCTATCGACTCTTCGGTACGGATCTCAACCTTCGAAATCTGCAAGTTATCGATGACCTCCTGAACGGCCTCTACACTGGCTCCAGGAGTGGCTGTCAAGGCAAGTACACGGAAGCTGTTGTTGAAACGGCGCAAGAAATTGACGACTGTGGTATATGCGTAGTTTCCAGTTGCTCTATGAGCTTCGTCCACTACCAGCAGGACAATCTTTTTTGGATCTGCAATTCCACTCACCAGGTCGTTCTGAAGCGTTTGTGGCGTCATGAAGAAGACTCGCTTTGCATCCCACTCTTCGGCTCTCAAGGCTGGAGGTTGTTCGCCTGTGAGCATCGTAGTCTGTGATCTCGGTATGCCGACAATGTTGAAACATGCATCTACCTGTTGAGCAACCAGAGGTTTGGTCGGGGCAACAAAGATAATCTGTGCATGTTTGGTCCAACGAAAAAAATTGTACATGATTGTAGCCGCAATGAAGGTTTTTCCAAGACCAGTGGGAAGAGCAACCAGAAGATTGTGAAACAATCCATGCCTGACGATGCTGTACTGGTAGTCTCGAATCGCGCCTAGATTGGTCGGATACACCCACGTCTTCAAAGCTTCTTGGTCCAGGACGTGTTGGGTAGGTGCTTCCGGCGGCTTGTCAACCTTGAAGTTGAAGACCTTCTTCGCCTGCGACGCAGAGACCTCATCTGGAGCACGACCACCGAACAAGGTCGTCTGGCGGAGTCCTTGCTGTGGAGGAACGAGCCGCTGCTTTTGGAAATACGCCATTTGACTGGCTCTAAGAGGAGAGGAGCCTACGAGAATAGGTTCATTCGATCCTTGATTTTCTGGAGACGAGAAAGCGTCAGATGGTAGGTCGTCTAATTCTCGACTGTAGTCATGGTCTGGGGCGGGGTTGCCGTGTGAGCGATTATTGATTTGTCCCCGGGTAGTATTTTCCTGTGAGGGGTGGCTTTTTCGTCTCTGGAAGAAGCTCGCTGGAGGTGCAACCCGTTTAGGAGTCGTAGAGAATACCGGAGGCTTGATCACGGGTTCTGGCCTCGGCTTGATGTATATAGGGCCCCGGATTCTCCATGGGCTTGAACCAGGGAGGGCTTCTGCTTGGGTGGCCCCAATGATTTTCGCGGCTGGGACATCATGCTCAGTGATGTGAATTCGGTGTTTCTTCTTCTTCTGCCTGTCGTACTCTTCCTCTTCGCCGGAATTGCCACCCTCGTCGCATGAACCACGTCGACGTTTCCCTGGCAGCGGCGGGAGCTTCTGCGAAGCCGGACTGAAGGCTTCAATCAAGTCCTCATCAGCTATGTCACCATAATCATCATCATCGGCGTCCATCGTGTTTATGGTGGTTGAGCCTCAGCCCACATCTTTGGAGAAGAGCGGGACGTCGCGCGCACGCGTTCAGGCCTAAAACACGAACCTTATTGTATCACGTGTTCGGGAGTGCCCCACCTTTTCCAGCGCCGGCATTATCCAGTTTACTTAAGAAGGCTTTTCAATTCACTATGTGCTACGTTACACTAACATCAAAATCCCCGACCCGGCCTCTTTACCATGGGTCTCCGAACCGCTCCGTGCGATGCGACCTTCTTCACGGCCGATGCATTTGGCTTCTTCGCCATCTTCAGGCTCTCATTCTCCACCCTCTTCTCTTCTCGTAGCTTATCCTCGGCCATCTTCGTCTCAATCTCCATCTTCTTGTTGAATTCAGTTTCAGTTACACGCTTCTCTCGCGCCGAGTACCCTTTCTCCTTGACAGAGTAGAAGACACCTCCCAGCTCAGCAAGCCATTTGGGATCAACGGAGGTGACCGTTGACATGTATTCTTTTGAGGTTAGAATGAGTTCGTGGTAGACGACGTAGTCGGGAAGGTATCCCAGTCCATACAGGGCACTGGTTGGGTGTAGCTGGACGGACACACTGGTCCTCAAATTAACATATTCGCCAATCCCTTTGACCTTGGCTGCTTGATGGTAGTACCCAGAGCAAATGCACTTCCGAATGACATCCCAGTCAGTGCCACAGCTGATCATGGCCATCTTTTGCATCTTCATGATGTCGCCAAGCTGTTCCCGAATCTCTTTCGCCCGGCGAAGAGATTTTGGGTGTAGGAAGTGACGTGTACACCACGCATCGGAGTATCCATTCGACTTCCACTGCGAGTAAACGTGAAGAAAAGTGAGATGGTCTGATTCGGGAACGAAGAACTTCTCCCGAGCAGCGTCGGATTCGTCTTGGCGTTCCTTGGGTCTGTAGAAAACACTTGGCACACTCAACATGGATACAATCGTTAGCATCTCTTCACTGCAACCGTAATCCTCGGATGTGATGAGAAGTTTTGCTAATGATGGATCCATAGGGAAAGCCGTCATCTTGCTGCCGATAGCAGTCAGGTCACCAATATTGTCGAGAGCTCCTAGAGCCCAAAGGTCGAAAAGTGAGGTTGTGATTGTTTCTTGCGGCGGAGGATCCATAAAATCGAAATCTAGCAAGTCCTTCACACCCAGAGACTTTAAGAGCAGGACAGTGTTGGCGAGATTGGTACGTTGAATCTCGGGGATCGTTTGGATGTACATCTCATCCTTGAAAGCCGCCTCTGTGAACAGGTGATAGGCCTTCCCGGGCCCAGTACGACCAGCGCGACCAGCTCTTTGAGAAGCGTTTGCCTGCGAAATGGGTGTGATCTGAAGAGTGTCCATACCCATTCTAGGATTGTAGACTTTCAGTTTCGAGTAGCCGGCATCAACCACATACATGATACCATCCACAGTCAGACTGGTTTCCGCAATATTCGTAGCCACAATGACTTTCCTGACCCCAGGGGCAGCTTTGTCGAAGATCTTTGCCTGAAGATCTGCTGGCATCTGACTGTAAATGGGAAGGATACTAAGTTTCGGCGGATCATTCAGAGCATTGAGGCGTTCTTGAACTAGCTCGCAAGTTACTTCGATGTCTTCCTGTCCTGTCATAAACACCAGAATATCACCAGCACCCTGTGATACGTGAATGGCGAGAACTTGCTGAACAGCCTGATCAACGTAATCTTCAACAGGGGACCGATGATACATAATATCGACGGGGAAAGTCCGACCAGGAATGAAAAACTCGGGTGCTCCCCCATAGAAATCAGAAAATCTCTTCGAGTTCATCGTCGCAGATGTCACGATAAGTTTGAGATCCCGTCGTCGAGCAAGAACCTTCTTAAACAAGCCCATGAGAACATCGGTGTTCAATGCTCTCTCGTGGGCTTCGTCCATAATGACACAAGAGTATCGGTCGAGATCCGGCTCGTTGAGTGATTCTCTCAAGAGGACACCGTCTGTCATATACTTGATCGATGTTTCTCGGCTCGTGCAATCTTCAAATCGAATGGCATATCCAACAGTGCCACCAAGCTTGCATTCCATTTCCTCGCTGACGCGCTTAGCTACACTCATAGCTGCCACTCTTCGAGGTTGTGTACAACCGATCAGTCCAAGCTTGGCATATCCGTCTTCGTATAAGAATTGGGTCAGTTGCGTTGTTTTACCGGACCCTGTCTCGCCTACTACGATGATAACCTGGTTATCTCTGATGACCCTGAGCAGGTCTTCTCGTACTGCAAACGCGGGCAAAAATTCCCTTTGTTCCTTCAAAGATTTGCTTTGACTGAAGTTACTGGCTCCCTCGTTTTTCTTCATGTGTTGTCCAAACTTGCTGTTGCCCTGGGTTTCCACTTCCCCAGCAACCGGTGCAGCACTATCGCCCTCCTCTTCCTTGACTCCCATTAAGTTTCCGAGAGCAGTCCCAGCCATGGTGGTGGCCTCTTGAGCTTGCTTCTGCCTCTCCTTCTGCTGGCGTTTCTCCTTCACCACCTTGCTACCTTTTCGACTGAAGACTGCCATGTCACTCTGAGAATCTCGAATGGCGGGTACTGGTTCCAGCTGCTTGGAGAAAACGGTTCGTCCGTCCAAGAAGGGGGGCTTGAGGTCGTGTACCAGCAGATGAACCCTAGTCGCATCCTCATCATCCTCGAAATCATCTGCCATATCTCGTCGTTGAGCCACCCCCGAGGTGAGCATTCGATTAGTTTCCCAGGCGTCGACATCTTTCTGTTTTTGGGTCGCCCGCGCACTGCATCGTTTCCCGGTCTTCTTCTCTACCGCAGCTACCTCTTGCTGCTGTTCAGCCCATGAGTTATCATAGCTGGCGAAAGGGTTATGCTCGTCCTCGCCGAAAACATGTCCAAACTCGTCTCCCGCGTACCAGTCTCTGTCAAGGGCTTTCGAGTCCTCTTCGTTCATGAACGGTTCAGGGCCGTCAAGTTCTTGTTGGCGCGGTGTTGGTGGGTATCGCGATTGGGAGCGTGGCGTCGATGCTCGGGATGCATTTCCCACTCGACTTTGAGACCGCGCTATACTCGATCCTGATGGCCCATAACGGTGTCCTGAAGGCCTGGCGGGGACTGCGAATCTATCGTCGGATCGCAAAGGGTTGAAATCCAGTTTCCGCCGCTTTGGGCTCGTCTCGCCGTCGTCTCTGCCCATGTTGGTGGTTGTGAAGTGGTGACCAAGGCTTCGAAATCTCGCTCGGGATTACTTTGCTGACTGCCCTGGTACTTCGACGCTAGTACATTAGGGGCTTAGATCTCCCGCCTCATCCCTACCATTCTTATCCACAGTAGTGGGGGTTTAAATATTTTTTTTTACTTTTGCTATCGGCGAAGTTGGATCGCGACAGTCGTTTTTCTTGAAGATACACGGTCGCAAATCAAAGATGTCGATGATCACAGCGACGACGTGGGTCCCCCGTGGATTTGCTGCCCCGTTCCCGACTAAATACACCTTCGACGAGGAGGAGTTCGCGCGCATCGCAGAGCTTGCGAAGCTCCAACTCGACGATGCAAATGAAGACCTCGAGGACGCGCGCAAGGAATCTACCGACGAGAAAGACCCAGATGTCATGGAAGAGGATGATGGATCGGATGACGAAGCCCCTACAAAAAAGATCAAAACACAAGGGTTAGTCTGCTCGCCAACATGTAATGGTTTACCACTAAAAACATTCATGCAGAGATGAAGATGATGATCTGAAGGAATATGACTTAGATCACTATGATGATGACGAAGAGGGGGACGAAAAAGAAGGAGCTGCTACTGGAATGGGGATGTTCGGAAACGTCAAATCGCTGGCCTACCACGAATCGAACGACGACGATCCCTACATTACCATGAAAGAGAACGAGGAGGATGACGAGGACCGCGAAGAACTCCAGATCCTGGCAACAGACAATATGCTTCTGGCAGCCAAGATTGAGGATGAGGTAGCGCATCTGGAAATCTATGTCTACGAGGATGGAGCCGACAACTTATACGTGCACCATGATATTATGCTGCCCGCAATTCCTCTGTGCGTAGAATGGTTGGATCTGCCCGTGGGGAAGTCGAACGTGGAAAAGGACTCCAGAGCAAACTTCGTGGCTGTGGGAACCTTTGATCCTGATATCGAAATCTGGGACCTGGATACCATCGATTGCATGTACCCGAACGCGATCCTTGGACAAGGGGGGGAGAGCAACGATGGCGGCACGGGAGAGAAGAAGAAGAAGAAGAAAAAGAAGAAGTCCAAGAAGTCCAACGATGATTATCACGTGGACTCGGTCCTGTCTCTGGCGGCGAACCGACACCACCGGAATCTACTGGCCTCGTCGTCTGCGGACAAAACGGTCAAGTTATGGGATCTAAGCACGGCCAGGTGCGCCAAGTCATACAACTACCATACCGACAAGGTCTGTTCATTAGCGTGGCATCCCACCGAGACCACCATTCTGTTGAGTGGAAGTTACGACCGAACGGTCGTAGCTGCGGATATGAGAGCGCCGGATGCGAAAGCGCCCACGTGGGGAGTGGAGAGCGACGTTGAGACTGTTCGGTGGGATCCTCATGAGCCAAATTTCTTCTACGTATCGACCGAGAGCGGGGTCATCCATTTCCATGACGTTCGCAAGGCGCCAGCGAATCCAGCACAGAGCAAGCCCGTCTGGATCCTGCAAGCCCATGACGAATCTGTCTCAGCGTTCGATGTCAATCCTGTGATCCCCGGATTCATGGCCACTGGATCTACCGACCGACAGGTCAAGCTTTGGAATATCCAGCCGTCGGGCCCTTCCATGGTTGTTTCGCGAGACCTGGATGTCGGCAAGGTATTTTCGACTACATTCGCACCCGACGAGGAGGTCGGGTTCAGATTGGCCGTGGCGGGTAGCAAAGGCCTCGTGCAGGTCTGGGTACGTTTCGTGGGCCAACCTTTTCTAAATATTACTGACGCAGGAGATAGGATACTTCTACCAACGCCGCTGTCCGGGGAGCCTTTGCGGACAAGGTGGCACCGGTCGAGGGAGAGATCCGGGAGCGACTGGTTCGCATGAACAACGATGACAGTGAATCAGAATCTGGGGGAGAGGCGGACAGCGGAGAAGCACATGCTGGTGGTGGTGGAGAGGGCTGGGAGTCGATGGATGAGGAATGAGAAGCGGGAAAATGAAGTGGCGTGCCACCGGGTTTCCCAGCCGAAGCCCGAAGCGAGGGAGAGGGAGGGAGGCGAGATCAGCTGGGGAGACAGTGGGCGCATCGCAATGGTACGGCGATCAGGATCTTGCTACAGTACCTACAGTAGGCATTCCGGTTCGAAGCCTCGGGCGCAAGCCCGTCTCAATTCCATCATCCATGGCTGAATAGGTAATGACGTATCGGCGCGAAAGGATGATATTCCCAGCGACAGAATCAGTCGAGAATAGATGAAACAAACGCGTCGAAGATCTGATGAAGTGTGCGGTACGGCCGTACCGATTTCATGTCATCGCGGCAACGCCCCCCCCTCCCCCTCCCGTTTCCAGGTGCACGTTCGCCATTGCAGGCCGGGCTGGCGTCGCCACCACGGCTTGAGTTTAGCAGGAATTGTGCATTGCACGAAGGAAGGACAATTCCAGCCCCGGAATATTTTTCTCCAGTCACGCCGGTCTTTTTTAATTTTTTCTAAAAAAAAAAAAAAGATCTTTTTCTTTTTCTTTTTCTTTTTGTGTCTTTTTTTTTTCTTTTCTTCTTCTTTTTTCTTCTTTCTTTTTCTTTCTCTTCTCTCTCTCTCTCTCCTCTCTCTCTCTCTCTCTCTCTCTCTCTCTCTCTCTCTCTGCCGCATCGTTCGGCACCCGGCTGCTTTCGAACCCATCAATCGGCTAGCCCCCCCTCGTGCTTTGCTTTCGGTGAATCTAATCTGATCTGATCTGATCCCGACCTGGTTGGCGCTGCCTCGGTACCAGCTCTCGCTGGAATAGCGCGGGCGGGCGAGACGAGACGAAATGAGATGAGAATTATCCGGGGCTGGTGAAGAGGAAAGGAAAGGGGGGTTTTTCTTTCTTTCTTTCTTTCTTTCTTTCTATCTATCTTTCTTTCTATCTATCTTTCTTTCTATCTATCTTTCTTTCTATCTATCTTTCTTTCTATCTATCTTTCTTTCTATCTATCTTTCTTCCTTCCTTTCTTCCTTCCTTCCTCTCTACTCCCTCCGCCTCGCTACCTCTAAACAGGCTGTCATGTATATGTATATATGTATATATATATTTTCCTTTTTTTTTCTTCGCGCAACAGTCATTGATTGACAGACGGCCGGAATAATCTCAGCAGCGCAGGCAGCAGGCCCGCGGACCCAGAACCCGCTACCTTCCCGATGCAGGCTGCCTGCCAGAAGCCCGCGTTCGGTAACACTCGTGCGGGTGCGCGAAGCGCCATCGGTTAGAATAACACTACATCCCACACACCAGTCGCGAAGTGCGTGAACGTTTTGGGGCTGATCCGCCGTGCGGGTTCGGGAAGTTGGCAGTGAGACGGGGGAAAGCTGTGCGTCGTCCAGGAGGGCCGGTAGGCGAGCGTGATTGGCGAAGGGGAGGACGATGTTGACAAATGGGGGTCGAGAGGGCTTTGCTACCGATTCAGGGACAGCGGCGTAGACTCGCAGTGAGGGGTCAGGACTTACAGCTGTAGAGAAGCCGTCTCTTCGGAGGGACTCGCTTGAAGCGGTGTTGGCCTTGGTTGTTGCATTCCTGTACCACCTTCAGAATATTATAAAGTCGAGGCGTCTGTCTCTCTACGCGATGCAGATTGCCCACTCACAGCCACTGACTCTCCCCGGCCCGCCAGCATGAAGGCCGCGACCCTCCTCTCTGTCCTCCCCTTTCTGGGTCGGGCAGCAGCTATGCCTCTCATCCAGCCCCGTGAGGCCAATTCCACCATGGCACCCAACATCTCGCTGCTCCAAGCAGCATCCATGGGGGAGTTGGCGGCGCTCGTGAGTATCGCGGAAGCGCCAACCGACCCGGCAAACGAGAACGGGTTGACGGGAGCCTGTAAAGCAGTCACCGTCCTCTACGCCAAGGGCACCGGCGAAAACGGCAACATGGGGGACGGGAGCTCTCCGGGGCCAGCCTGGGTCGCCGCCATCCGGTCGTCTCTGGGGACCGCCGCCGTCACCGTGCAGGGCATCGATTACGATGCTTCCGTCCTGGGGTGGGTTTGCGTCCGTGTCAGGTGTTGAGTTGACCGCTTTCGTGCTGAGCGTGGGCAACTCCAGCGTGGAGAGGAGCGGTGCTGATGGCCAGTAGGTATCTCTTGGGGGGATCGCCGTCGGGAAGCGCCACCTACCTCGACAGGATCAACCAGGCGAGCACCCAGTGCCCCGGCACCAAGATCGTGCTCGGTGGCTACTCTCAAGGTGGTCAGATCCTGCACAACGCCGCAGAGAAGCTCACCGCTGCCGTGACAGCCAGGATTGCCGCTGGTCAGTATCCTCTCTCTCTCTCTCCAACGCACTGACAAACTGGAGCTGATTTGGGATCGTAGTTGTCATATTCGGTGACCCAGATCTGCGCGATCCTGTTGGGACTGTCCCAAGCTCAAAGGTGCTTGAGGTCTGCCATGTTGGCGACATCATCTGTACTGGGTTTGGTGGAAGTGCGGCGCATCTGAATTACGCAATGGATGCCGCGGTTGCTGCTGCGTTTGTTGTTGCTAGGGTTTGAGCTGAGACTTGATGATACTGGGGCCGGGTGAGCGTTTGAAGCTCCGGGCTGGGCTGCGGAGTGAAGTCCGATAGCAGAGCATAGCAGAGCAGAGAATAGCATAAAATACCTAGCATACGACCTGCTCCAAGAAGCTACTAAGCATTCAATTCTGCTCCGTATTCCTACCCAATAAAAAGGGAAGAAT